TCAAGTCGTTTCCAATTTATGGTGACCTGAAAGTGACCGTATCATGGGGTTCTCTGGGGCTGAGAGTATGTGACTCACCCAAGTTCACCAAGTAGCTTTCTGTGGCCGAGCAGGGACTTGAACCTTGGTCCTCAGAGTCCTAGTCCAATGCTCAAACCACAACACCACACTGGCAACACTATCACAGTTTTCTTGGAAAGATTTGTTCAGAGGAGGTTTGCCTTTGAGGCTGAGCAAGTATGGACCTTTGCAGACTGCCAGAAATAGTGCACATTAAATTGAGGTGCTGCCCTGGCTCAGTGCTAGGGAACCATGAGAACTGTAGTTTATTGTGGCACCAGAGCTCTCTGGCAGAGAAGGCTCAATGACTCAGAAAAAAATACAATTCCCATGACTCCCTAGCACTAAGCCAGGGCAGTGCCTCAATTTAATGTGCACTATTTCTGGCAGTCTGCTTAGGCCTGCAATTAAAGGCATAAAATCCCCCTCCCCATACTCCCTTTGCTTTCTGCCTGAGAAACATCGCCCTAAAAAAAACTACGTTCCCCAGAAGCCCCCGCGGGGCTGCGTGGAGGAAGCCGGAAGTGAGGCGTGCCTGCCTGCCGGGGCCGGGGTCAACGGGTGACGGAGAAGGAGGAGGAGGAAGAAGAAGAAGGGGAAGGGGGCATGTGGCTGTAGAGGCGCTCGGCGGAGCCTGGGCAGGATGTCAGCGGCGGCGAAGAAGGAGCTCCTGGCCCTGATCCAGCAGTACCTGCTCCAGGCCGGATACCCCCGGACGGCCAAGGGGCTGCTGGAGGAGAGCGGGCAGGTAAGCACCCCCAAGGGCCCCTCCCTCCCGTCCACGTGCCTCGTGCTCGCGCTCGCGCTCCCCGGGGAAGCACAGAGGCTGATGGCAGCAGGAGCTTTCCTAGGCTACTCCTACTACATCTGCTACCACCAATACTACTACTAATACTGCTGCTGCTACTACTACATTCTTTTTGTTGTGCTATTTCTACTACTACTACTACTACTACTAC